CTCCTTTTCACATCTAAAGCTAAGGAGGAGACACTTACAGCCCACTCAATCAGCCTCATTTGCACCAGCCCTACAATTGACATTTACTTTTTCTCTCTTCCTTCTCTTTCTGTGCTAAATTCTGGATTCCTTCCCCCACCTCCTACTCCAGCTCATGTCTAAGAGGCCACAGGGCTGCTTGTTGTTTTTAAAGTCACAGACTCCTCCTTTCAGACGTTCTACCTCATAGATTTGCCCCCTTTCTAATTGTCTTTGTCATTGTAACTGAGATCCAAGGCCCTGCACCGTCCCCCCTCATCTTCTCCCGCCTCTACTTCAATCTTCCCTTGAGTATCCCCATCCCTTCTATGCCTTTCACCCCACATCCTGCACTCTTGATTTCTCCTGTCCTCCCCCACTACTCGTTGGAACATCTGTGTGATGGGTGCCCCTGGAATGGAAATACAGCTGAGGCTTCCCTCTTGCATTGCGACATGACACGCTTGCTTCAGACCAACATCTGCAGGCAGGGCCCCACCCCCATCTGTTTTCCTGAATGCTTATAGAGAGGCCACAGAGAAAGTTCTCTTGGCTCTGCATCCTAAGCACCCAGAGCTCTACCATCCTGCCCTGGGCAAAACCCATTCAGTGTGCATTGATTGCCTAGTGCACCAAAGGCAGAGTTTCATGAGGCCGGGTGGAGAATAGGGTGGAGGACGGAGGGGTGGGGGGGGCAGCCGTGTGCACCAGGAAATGATTTGCTTTTCTTCCCATTCCCATGACTATCCGGGAGTGAGGGGCAAGTACTTGCATGCCGTGCATGCCTATCACTCCTGGCGGGGGAAGGGAGAAGGCAGAGGAATAATTCATGGAATCCAAGTACTTTCCCTTCGCTCTTTTACTGCAAGGCACACAGCTCTGTGGAGGTGGCCTTCCACATGCAGAAGTTGTGGACCCACTGCTGGTCATCCCCCCGCCCCACGACCAGCCAGTCCCACCAATTGTAACTAGTGTCCTGCCCCCAAACGCGTCTCTCCACAGTGGGGTGTGGTTGCAAGGGCCTTGCTCCTGCACACAGGGAGTGGGTCTCAAGGATGAGTTCAGTGTCCAGCTCCTGCAGGGCCATGAAGGCGGCCGGCACAAAGTGCTACACGACCTACAGCATGGCCGTGTGGGGCCATCACATGCCCAGAGGCAGCTCTGGCTCCATAACAAGGAGTGTGCTGTGGTGTCCAAAAGCAGGGGAACCAGAGCAGACACTGTTGAAGCTTTGCTGTCCCTTGGAGAGGTGTCCAGCACACAGCAGAAGGTGAGAAACAGCTGTCATGGGGGTCCCTTTAAGAGCGTCTCATCTAGCCTTACGCAACAGCTCCTGCAAGCAACGGCTGACCTGATAGAATCATAGAATCAGAGAACACTAGGACTGGAAGGGACATCGAGAGTCATCGAGTCCAGTCCCCTGCCCCCATGGCAGGACCAAATACTGTCTAGACCATCCCTGATAGACATTTATCTAACCTACTCTTAAATATCTCCAGAGATGTGGATTCCACAACCTCCCTGGGCAATTGATTCCAGTGTCTGATCACCCTGACAGGTAGGAACTTCTTCCTAATGTCCAACCTGAACCTCCCTTGCTGCAGTTTAAGCCCATTGCTTCTTGTTCTATCCTCAGAGGCCAAGATGAACAAGTTTCCTCCCTCCTCCTCATGACACCCTTTTAGATACCTGAAAACTGCTATCATGCCTCCCCTCATTCTTGTCCTTTCCAAACTAAACAAGCCCAATTCTTTCAGCCTTCCCTCATAGGTCATGTTCTCTAGACCTTTTATCATTCTTGTTGCTCTTCTCTTGACCCTCTCCAATTTCTCCACATCTTTGCTGAAATGCCGTGCCAAGAACTGGTCACAATACTCCAACTGAAGCCTAACCAGCACAGAGTAGAGAGGAAGAATGACTTCTGGTGTCTTGCTCACAACATACCTGTTAATGCATCCCAGAATCATGTTTGCTTTTTTTGCAATAGCATCACACTGCTGACTCATATTCAGCTTGTGGTCCACTGTACCCCCTAGATCCCTTTCTGCCATTCTCCTTCCCAGACAGTCGCTGCCCATTCTGCATGTGTGAAACTGATTGTTCCTTCCTAAATGGAGCACATTTCATTTGTCTTTATTAAACTTCATCCTGTTTACCTCTGTCCATTTCTCCAATTTGTTCAGATCATTTTAAGTTATGACCCATCCTCCAGAGCAGTCGCAAGCCCTCTGAGCTTGGTATCATCTGCAATCTTAAGAAGCGTACTTTCTACACCAATATCTAAATCATTAATGAAGATATTGAACAGAGTCGGTCCTAAAACAGACCCCTGAGGAACCCCATTTTTTATACCTTTCCTGCAGGATTGTGAACTATTAATAACTACTCTCTGAGTACGGTTACCCAGCCAGTTATGCACCCACCTTATAGTAGCCCCATCTAAGTTGTATTTGCCTAGTTTATTGATAAGAATATCATGCAAGACCGTATCAAATGCCTTACTAAAGTCCAGGTATACCACATCCACCTCTTCTCCCTTATCCACAAGACTGGTTATCCTATCAAAGAAAGCTATCAGATTGGTTTGACAAGATTTGTTCTTTACAAATCCATGCTGGCTGTTCCCTATCACCTTGCCACCATCCAAGTGTTTACAGATGATTTCCTTAATTACTAGCTCTATTACCTTTCCTGCTACAGAAGTTAAACTAACTGGTCTGTAGTCTCCTGGGTTGTTCTTATTTCCCTTTTTATAAATGGGCACTATATTTGCTCTTTTCCAGTCTTTTGGAATCTCTTCTGTCTCCCATGATTTTCCAAAGATGATAGCTAGAGGCTCAGATACCTCCTCTATCAGCTCCTTGAGTATTCTAGGATGCATTTCATCAGGCCCTGGTGACTTGCAAGCATCGAACTTTTCTAGGTGATTTTTAACTTGTTCTTTTTTTATTTTATCTTCTCAACGTACCCTGTTCCCGCTAGAATTCTCTATGTTAGTCATTCCTTCAGACTTCTCAGTGAAGATTGAAACAAAGAAGTCAATAAGCATCTCTGCCATTTCCAAGTTTCCTGTTACTTTTTCTCCCTCTTCACTGGCCAGTGGGCCTACCCTGTTCTTGTTCTTCCTTTTGCATCTAATGTATTTATAAAAAGCCCTGCCTGAACTGGTTCCTGGTGGCCTTAAATGTGAGATAGTGTCCAATGCATGTGGACGCTATCTTTCAAAAAAAGCACATCACTTTTTCATTGTGCTTTTACTGTCTAGATGCTCTCTTTCAAAATTAGCTTTCCCAGAAGATCTCTTCCAGTCGTCTGCAGTCTAGACGTAGCCTCAAGATTTTCCACTTCGATTCTACATTTTCTTTCACATATAATGCCCCGCTCCCACAAGCGTGACCTGCTCTGTGCTTCTGATATATTTTGTACCCTGGTATGACTGTGTCCCCTTGATTGTCCTCATTCCACCAAGTTTCCGTGATGCCCATTCTTTCAATAGCCTCCTTTAAAACTAGGCACTCTAGTTCACATCTGTCAGACATCTGTCAGGGATGGTGTAGATGGAGCTTGGTCCTGCCTTGAGGGCGGGGGGCTGGACTCGATGACCTCTCGAGGTCCCTTCCAGTCCTATGATTCTATGATTCTATGATTTAAACTTCCAGTGTTTGTGTATCAGCAGTTGAAATGTGTGTCCCCCTCAATCTGTCTGCCATTTCCTGATGTATTACACTCTTTTTCATTTGTTTCTCATCTGATCTCCCCCATATTTTATCATCTTCCATCTCCTGACTAGAACAGAGAGAATCTCTATTAGTAGACCCTCCTTAAGGGATGTCTCTGTCCGATCCATGTGCTCCTCCGCACCTGTCAGCTTTCCCCCAGCCCTTGGTTTAAAAACTGCTCTACGACCTTTTTAATGTTAAGTGCCAGCAGCCTGGTTCCTCTTTGGTTTAGGTGGAGCCCATCCTTCCTGTATGGGCTCCCCCCATATACAAAATTTCCCCAGTTCTTAATAAATCTAAAGTTCTGCTCTCTACACCATTATCTCATCCTCACATTGAGTCTCTGAAGTTCTGCCTGTCTACCTGTCCCTGTGTGTGGACATATAAACATTTCAGAGAATGACAAAATAGAGGTCCTGGATTTCAATATCTTTCCTGGCAGCCTAAATTTGCCCTGGGGGACATCTCTCCTACCCTTCCCTATGTCATTGGTACCTGCATGTACTACGACCACTGGCTCCCTGCCAGCATGACACATAAGTCTATCTAGATGTCTCGAGACATCCACAACCTTCGCACCAGGCAGGCAACTCACCGTACGGTTCTCCTGGTCATCACAAACCCAGTTATCTATGTTTCTAATGATCCCATTACTAACACTTGCCTTTTCCTACTGAGTGGAGTTCCCTCCCCCGGAGAGGTATCCTCAGTGCGAGAGGAAACTACAACATTATCTGTTATAACTTTATCTCAGCGATTGCCTGTATAGTGACTGTGTAACCAAACCCAACTGCATGGCCAGAGCAGGTTATTCTCCATCTCATTCCATATGTGTCCAACCACGTTCTGAGCTTGGGCCAGAGCTGCAAAGGGCAAGTGACCCCTGGTGTTGCTCTCAACGAGGGCCAGGCCTTTCCCTGGGGTGTTGTTCCTGCTGGTGCCTATTAAGCTTTCTCACAAAATGATGTATGCAAATTACTGACCCCGGCACACCACTGGTATTCGGAGGATTCATTGTTCATAATTCATTTCACTGAAAAACAATTTTTTTTCAGAGTGTGAAGAGCGAGCAATCTGCTTTGCCCATGACAACAGCCTCATGTAGGGCATGTCGTGTCTCATATTATCATTTTCTTTCCCCCTAGCTAATTATACTGCAACCATCATTATAAACCCTGGGCACGTACGGAAAGTCTCAGGAACGTATGGTACATTCAAGAGACACTTTTCTGCCTCAGAGTTGAACGCATTCTCCACTATCCCATGTCAAATTCCAACACAACTGAGTTCTCCAACCCCTCCATCTTCATCCTGCTGGAAAAGGCCCATATTTGGATCTCCATCCCCTTCTGTGCCATCTACGCTATAGCCCTCTTGGGGAATTTCACCATCCTGTTCGTTGTGAAGAGGGAGTCGAGCCTCCATGAGCCCATGTACTATTTCCTCTGCATGCTGGCCGTCACTGACCTGGTCCTGTGTACATCTACCATGCCCAAATTACTGAGCATCTTCTGGTTCAACTCCAGGGAGATCGATTTCAGTGCCTGTCTCACCCAGATGTTCTTCATTCACTGCTTCTCAACAATTGAGTCTGGGCTTTATGTGGCCATGGCGTTTGATCGCTACGTGGCCATCTGCCATCCCCTGAGACATTCCACCATCCTGACGAACCGAATTGTACCCAAGATTGCCCTGGCCGTAGTGCTGCGCGGTTCCATGCTTGCACTGCCCTGTCCCCTCCTGGCCAGACAGTGGCCATATTGCAGAACCAACATCATCCCCCACACACACTGTGAGCACATGCCTGTGGTGAAACTGGCCTGCACCGACATCAGCATCAGTAGCTACTATGGCCTCTTTGCACTAATCTCTAGAAATAGTCTTGATTTGATTTTTATCTCTGTGTCCTACACCCAGATCCTCAGGGCCATATTCAGACTCCCCACAAAGGACATCTGGCTCAAGACTTTTGGGACTTGTAATGCCCACCTCTGCGCCATCTTAACCTTTTACATCCCAGGTCTCTTCTCCTCCCTGACAACTCAGTTTGGCCATAATTTGCCTCTTCATTTCCATGTTCTCATTGGCAATTTGTACCTCCTGGTGCCCCCCATGCTGAACCCCATCATCTATGGGGTGAGGACCCAACAGATTCGGGCCAGGCTGCTCCAGCTGTTTCCTCATAAAGGGACTAAACTTGTGTCCCTCAGCTCTGGCTCTCAGTCCAAGTCCCATGTAATGCTGCCATGGCTGGATAACCGTAGTCAGACTCATAGACTCATAGACTCATAGACTTTAAGGTCAGAAGGGACCATTATGATCATCTAGTCTGACCCCCTGCACAGTGCAGGCCTCAGAATCTCACCCACCCCTCCTAGAATAATCCTCTCACCTATGTCTCAGATATTGAAGCCTTCAAATACTTTGAAGACCCCAAGATGCAGAGACTCCTCCAGCTGTGATCTGTACCCCATGCTACAGAGGAAGGCGAAAAACTTCCAGGGCCTCTGCCAATCTACCCTGGAGGAAAATTCCTTCCCGACCCCAAATATGGCGATCAGCTAAACCCTGAGCATGTGGGCAAGACTCATCAGCCAGACACCCAGAAAGTTCTCTATAGTAACTCCTATTATCCCTCCAATGACCTATTTCCCACTGATAATGAATGGTCAATTAGTTACCAAGATCATGTTATCTCATCAAACCATCCCCTTCAGAAACCCATCTAGTTTAATCTTGAAGCCAGCTAGATCTTTTGCCCCCACTACTTCCCTTGGAAGGCCGTTCCAGAACCTCACTCCTCTAATGGTTAGAAACCTTCGTCTAATCTCACGTCTAAACTTCCTACTAGCCAGCTTATATCCATTTGTTCTTGTGTCCACATTGGTATTAAACTTAAATAATTCCTCTCGCTCCCTGGTATTTATCCCTCTAATATATTTAAAGAGAGCAATCATGCCCCCCCTCAGCCTTCTTTTGGTTAAAGTAAACAAGCCAAGCTCCTTGAGTCTCCTTTCATAAGACAGGTTTTCCATTCCTCGGATCATCCTAGTGGCCCTTCTTTGTACCTGTTCCAGTTTGAATTCATCGTTCTTAAACATGGGAGACCAGAACTGCACACAGTATTCCAAATGGGGTCTCACCAATGCCTTGTATAATGGCACTAACACCTCCTTATCCCTACTGGAAATACCTCGCCTAATACATCCCAAGATCATATTAGCCTTTTTTACGGCCATGTCACAATGGCGGCTCATAGTCATTCTATAATCAACCAGGACTCCGAGGTCCTTCTCCTCCTCC